TGGAGGCAAAGCAGGTTGACCTATTCTAGGTGGACGAGGAGTTGACCAGAGCAGCTGGAAAAGTTGTTAGCAGGACAGCTGGAGAAGCGCGCAGTAAACTAAAACACTTAAATTCTCATGGCCACTGGATGTGCAGTTCGTACTTCGCTCCACTGTAACCATTTGCAAAAAGCAATTATATACCGATTGCATTTGGACCACATTCAATTTCGGGTTCACCCACCACACCGTTGTCAACCGGAATTGCGTATGTCCAAGCAGCAAGCAGTAAGAGGAAACCTGTTGAAAGCAGTCTTGAATCCAACATTTCAATGAAAATTTGAAGCAACAAGCCAGCGCCTTTTGTTCAGGCGCCAGTTGCATCAAATAAGAGCAAAAAATGCGCACCTTTTATAATGGCAGAAAATTTGCATGCGCAAAATTCTAATGGGTCATTTGGGTCATCGAATTTTCGCTATACTGACACATATAAAGAAGTGATTCAATATGAAATGAGAAGAGGGAGAAGAGCAGCCCATTCCGAAAACTGGAATTTTTTGATAAATCCGACTGCGCAGCATAATAATATCTGGTCTTGATATCATCAATATTATCACCGTTACCATCTTCATTATACCCCGTTATCAACAGCATAAATTTTGACACCATATTTCACTTGGCGAAGTTTTTTAAATTTGCCATATGTAATCACTTTATACTTCAGAAGACCAAGGCTGTTACTTTTTCGCTAGAAGATACTGAAGAACTGAAAGTCATGAATCATGTGCTACAGCAAATAATGTGCTACGGCGTCATTACTACAACGCGTGGGAATTAATTTCAGAACTGCTTTAAAATCACTCTGTAAATTATTCTGGAAAAATAACTTTTCTGACTGTCGAATAAGAAAGTTACTCTTATCATATGCCTGAGATTGGTAGTCCTAACAAATCAAAAACTGGAAACTAATTTCAAGTTTCCTGCCTCAGACTACAAATGCGTAAATCCTACGAAATTTTCATTTTCTGATTTTCATTGCTCCTGAAATACAAAGCCAATATAATGGTGGGTCTAGATCCCTAGGCCTCAAGTCAGCTGCGAAAAAGAAATGTGTGATGAAATCACGTTTTAGGACGCCATAGCATCTAGGATAATATCCTCGAGAATTCAGCTCCAAGATTTCGCAGTTACAGGAACGAATAAAATAGGGAGACATATATGTATATATGATGCATATAGTATACATATGCATGTACATTTACATATGTATTTAAAGCAAGTGAGCGGCCCCCAGAAGAGGTGGCGCACATGCGTAGAACAGGCGATGAGTGTAAATGGAGGCATGCAGCCCAAGATCGTACGGCTTGGGCACGTGGGGACATCCCAGCAATATCACTAACAGAGGATATCTAAGCTGACAGCCCGAGCAGTCTTCGTATTTTTGGTCTAAGTACACTTAGCCTCAGCATGACGCATACTGATTTCCATAAATATGCAAATGCAAAAGTGCATGATGAATTCTTTCATATTTGAAATATGTCATTAGCGCATGAGCAAACTTTTAAAAAATTATAACTGTTAGATGGAGAGAATTAAAAGTGGGAAGCGAAATAATTGAGGATTATCTAATGTCAGCACATTCATTTTACACAGACACACATAAATACGCGTGTTACATATCTGGTAGGTCATCCAAAACATGAGCTCCACAGAATAGTTACGCTTGAAATTTGGCTCTTTTTATTACTAATGGTTTGGGACATCCTGGAAATGTTGGCGAAAAAGAACTGGTCTCATTTTTGTTCACCTTTTCCTTGTAGAATATCTCCTGGAAAAGTTGTACTTTGTGTATTGCATGTGAACGCATCTGTTAAGTTTGCGTACTGGGTGGCATCGCGAAAAAAGCAATTAAAAATTTGTGCGTTCTTCTCTCAAGTAAATATGGCAAAACATTCGCATTGTATTTTCAGCAAAATACTGCACATCTTTTATTTTCCCGGCGAAAAAAACGAGAAAATTCTGGAGATCCAGGAAGTAGGCAGCAAAAACCACTCGAAATAAACATAAATTATTCAGGCGATTGGCGCGTA